CGCAGAAAATTGAAGCTGTAGTAAACTGGCCTAGACCAACAAATGTGACAAAAGTCTGAAACTTTTTGGGACTAGCCGGGTATTACAGAAGATTTGTCAAAGATTTCTCCAAAATTGCCTTACCGTTGACTCAGTTAACTCAGAAGGGATATCATTTGACTGGACTGACCAAAGGGAATCAGCATTCCAAGAGTTGAAAACTCGATTTGTAACTGCACCGATTCTTACCCTACCTTCAGGTACGGATGGTTTTACTATATTTTAGTGATGCTTCTCATAAGGGTTTGTGATGTGTTTTAATGCAGAATGGGAGAGTTATTGCTTATGCTTCCCGACCACTGAGACCGCATGAAAAGAATTACCCCACCCATGACTTGGAACTTGCCGCAGTGGTATTTGCATTGAAAATCTGGTGTCACTATCTATATGGGGCGACATGTGAGGTGTATACAGATCACAAGAGTCTGAAATACTTCTTCACACAGAAAGAACTGAACATGAGACAGCGGAGATGGCTAGAACTGATTAAAGACTATGACCTACGGATTTTGTACTATCTGGGAAAAACCAACACCGTTGTCGATGCACTGAGCCAAAAATCGATTGGAAATTTAGCCTGTTTGCTCACCGGGCAGAAAAAATTGCTTTGTGACCTTGAAAAATCTGAAATTGAAATTGTTTTGCGAGAACAAGTGGAACCTTAGCTGCTATTTCTGCTCAACCGGCACTGATTGAAGAAATTGAAGAGAAACAGCAATTGGATGACTTCTTGAAGAAGATCATCGAAGAAAGGGAATCTAAACCAAGACCGGGTGTCAAATTTGAAAATAATGTACTGAAATTTCAAGAAAGACTGTGTGTACCGAATGATACTGAACTGAAAAGAAGAGTTCTGCAAGAAGGCCACAATTCAAAATTGTCTATCCATCTAAGGAACACGAAAATGTACCAATATTTGAAATTGAATTTCTGGTGGCCGGGAATGAAGAAAGAAATTGTAGATTTTGTATCAAAATGTCTTCATTGCCAACAAGTCAAAGCCGAACATCAACGACCCGCAGGCTTATTGCAGCCCTTACCCATACCGGAGTGGAAATGGGAACATATCACCATGGATTTTATTGTGGGATTGCCTCGCTCCAGTAAAGGTATGGACTCAATTTGGGTTATTATTGATAGACTGACTAAATCTGCTCACTTCTTAGCTGTTAAGACAATTTATAATGCGGACAAATTGGCTATACTCTATATTGATGAAATTGTTAGACTGCATGGAGTGCCTGTGTCCATTGTTTCTGACAGGGATTCGAAGTTTACATCGAGATTTTGGCAAAGCTTACAGACCGCATTGGGTACTAAATTGAGACTGAGTAGTGCTTACCATCCTCAGACAGATGGCCAGTCAGAAAGGACCATCCAGACTCTGGAGGATTTACTAAGAATGTGTGTCCTTGATTTTCAGGGAAACTGGGAAAGCCATTTGCCTTTAGCTGAATTCGCCTACAATAACAGTTTTCATTCGAGCATTGGTATGGCACCTTTTGAGGCATTGTATGGCAGAAAATGTACATCTCCGATTTGCTGGACAGAAGTTGGAGATGGGCCTTTGCTTGGGCCCGAGATTGTATATGAAATGGCTGAAAAAGTGAAACTGATACAACAGAGACTGAAAACTGCACAGATCAGGCAGAAAAGTTATGCTAATGTCAGAAGACGAGACAAAGAATATGAAGTAGGTGATCACGTTTTTGTGAAAGTGACACCGATGAAAGGCCAGACTTGTTTTGGAGTCAAAGGCAAGTTAGCACCAATATATGTCGGACCGTATGAGATTATTGAGAAAATCAATCCGGTGGCGTATCAAGTTGTGCTTCGTCCTGAAATGGAGTATATGCACAACGTCTTCCACATTTCCATGTTGAGGGATTACCTCCGGGATCCTTTCCATGTGATAGAGCCTACTCGTGTAGTGCTGAGTGATGACTACACTTACGAGGAATGACCTATTCAGATTGTAAACAGACGGATCAAGAAGTTGAGAAACAAAGAGATCCCGTTAGTGAAAGTCGACTGGCAAAACCATGGTGGCGTGTATGCCACTTGGGAAAAGGGCGATGACATGGCTAAAAGATATCCTGAACTGTTTCCACTGAATCCTGTTTTCTTCCAAAATGAAGGTAACTCGAGTTTAGAGGACTAAACTTTTTTTAAGGAGGGGAGACTGTAACAACCCTCATCACTGATCACTGATCGATTACTGCTAAACTGAGACTGATTATGATTGGTAATTGAACTGATTGAACTACTAAACTGACTGACTGGAATCTGAAACTGAATTGATTAAGTATATATGTTATATTGCATTTCTATCTGTTGCTTGTTTGATTATCTGTTCATGTTTTTATGGTTAAATTGCAAATTGAAGGCCTTATCGGCGGCCGAATCCGAAATTGATTGATGTTCAATGATCCTTAGAATTAATGTGATTTTATGGTGTATTTATCTGAAAACTGAATTGGTATGGTTAAATTAGATTAAATAACATCGTATTAGAAAGTACATGTATTTACCAACTTGCCATCCTTGGTGGCCCACTACCTCAACATATTGAACCTTGTACACACTTAGACAAACATTTTTCTTCAGCCATTTTGAGAGTTCTAGCCGACCAAGAGTGAGTGAGGAAGAGAATTGAATTGTTCTAGAGAATTGGCTTGATAGACTTGAAGAGATTGTAGGAGATTTGCCTGATTGAACTTCTACACTTGTAATTGAAGATCTAGGTAAGGAATTCAACCTCTTAATTGTGTCTTTAAGTTGATTCTTGCATGGTTCATGTCTAATTGAGGAGCCAAGTCATGATTTAGTTCTAACATGTCGAATTATAGCTGAATTCATGCATGCATGCCTATATTATTGAATTTTGAGTTGATTCCATGGAAAATTGTCACATGCATGCTCATATTTATGTTAAGTCCATGATTTCATCTTGTTTTGAAAAGAATTGGCTCCTTGGAGCATGTTTTGGAAGCTTGGAAGCTAGCTAAATTCATACATGTCATGTTTGAAGATTGTTCATAAAAATTGGTTTGAAATTGAGTTTGTTTAAGCTACCCTTGGGCTTTGATTTCTTAAATTGATCTTTAAAACATGTTGTTCTATGAGTTTACAAATGTTTTCCAGGAAATGAGCCCAAGAGGATCGAAATTTTTGCATCAAACCATGGTTTTAAGCTTGAAGGTGCAATCTGGATTTTCCAGATTTTGCACTCCCGCTCGAGCAGGGAAAGTGGCGCTCGAGCGGGAAATTCGAGCATCCAGTACTTTGCACGGGAATTCCAGATTTTGAACTCACGCTCGAGCGGGGTGACTGGCGCTCGAGCGTGGAAATCGTGCTCCCAGCATTTTATTCTGTTTTTGGGTCAGCTCAAGCGAGGTAATTTACGCTCGAGCAGGACCTTGTGTTTTACGCTCGAGCGGGTCTCGAGCGCACAATCGAGCGTGAATTTCACCTATCCAGCACTTTTGACTGTTTTGAAGTAGGCTCGAGCGGTTGAGTCTGCGCTCGAGCGGAAACCTTTGTCTGCATGTCTGCTCGAGCGGATTAACCTACGCTCGAGCGGGACCCCTGTTTTCTGAAAATGCTTTTAAAGTGCATCTTTGCATCCTCATTTCATCCTAGGCATTCTTAGGCCTAGTTTAAGGCATCTTAATGAGGATATAGATGTAGAACACACCGAGGCAATTAGGGATTAAGTTATTATCTTTCCCAACTGTGTAGCTTAGTGTGTGTTCGTCCTGTAAACTGTGTAGGGTTGGCGACTGGGGACGCGCTCTAGCTTTACTGTAGCCCAGAACTCTGTGAGTAACAACTGTGTAAAGATATGTTCAAAAATGATTATCTTCTGAACAATTGAACTGTACTGTTTCTGAATTGATACTGTTAATAGAATGAATGTATGTCCTCTATTCTGAACTGTATTGTGGCATCCTTAGCAATTACTGTTACTGACTGTTACTGTTACAGAGATCTCTGTCGGTTCCCTTGTTGGAACCACTACTGTTTACTGATTGATGGCCATCATTGACTGTACGGTCTTTCAAGACCTACTGTTTACTGTACTGTTATGCTAATGGATGTACCACATATGACTGTACTGACTGAATGACTAAAATACTGATTTAACGAACTGTTTTCATTACTATAAGAGCATTTATTCTAAACTTCTTTACGCATTATGTTATTCACTGGGCTTTAGCTCACTGCTCATATATATATGTATGTGTATAGGCACCAGACCGTGGCTAGAAGCATCGGGGTAAACTCCAGTTTTGTCAAGCCAACCGCTGTGCCTCACTGCGAGGTTCCGAGCCTGTCAAGCTATGGCTTGGGGTTGTTTTAACTTCCCCCGTCCATCTCTGTAACTGTTTTGTAGACTGTATAGGCTGTATAGACCGTTACCGTACTGTTTAATAGGGATTAGGTCCCTGATCTAAATGTTTATAAATGTTGTACATATTGTTCTGCACTGTGTATATGTGTATATGAAAAGTCTTTTTGGCATACAGACTGTCACGGCTCATTGGATATTGTTTATTTACTGTATTGGCTTCCGCCAGGCCCCTGTACTCTGTTTTACTGTATTACTGTTAAGTAGGCCTTCGGTAATCTCGGATTACTGGCCGATTACGGCACTAAACCCATAGGGGTGGGTTTGGGTTGTGACAGAACCACCTCAAAGTACTGAGATTTAGAATAATTTAGCGCCAAAAGTGAAACTTATTTATATTATTCTTAGTTCATGGAATATATGATTTATCTAATTTATTTCTTAGAAAGGAAAAAATTATTATTTTAAACTATCTAACTTAATTCACTACAACATGTGACTTGATGAATGCAAATATTGAACTTCAATTTATTAATGAAATTGCTACATGAGATGTATGACAAGCTAATGGAGAAGAGGAATTTATAGAGGATCCACAGGTAGTATAGGATTAACCCTTTTTGGTCTCCAATTCCTCATTAGAGTCCATTGTTTTCTTCATTCCTATGTCCTCTGTAGCATTTGCGTTTCCCGAACCATTCACATCCATAGCTCTCTCCCTTTCACAAGGAATCTTGGAGGCCTTATCATCATCAGTTTCACTTGAGTTTTCTTCCTTCATGTCTCCTAACATGTTGTGTAGTTTATCATAAAGCTCATCAAGTACACTTTAACCCATATCAGATTTAGAAGCCAAGTTGATCAAACTCTCTAACTTTTTGTGCAAAAATTTAAAATGGATAAAACGTACCAATTCGGGATATTTTTGTCCATGAATGTCTTCCACCTTGACATTCCTAGGATTTTTAATTAACTTCTCTAAAATGTATTGAGTTGGGATTCTCTCTATGTATAAGAAATCTAGGACATAGAGCGCACGTCTCCATAAAATTCCAGTGTTTTCAAACCCCTTGCAACTATAAGTCACTTTACCATCTGCTGTTTCTGCATGAACTTGACGACATTTAGAATGCCTAGGCTTTCTAACATCATAGTCAAAAACTGGCCCTCGATCATCAATGGTATCGCGCATGTTCGAAAGAAACAGATGTTCCGACCTTTTATATTCTTCTTGAAACATGAAAAATATATTTGAAATATAAATGTCCTTTGCATGTCTCAATAGACACCTTATCGTGGCCAGTAAGCCTGCCCAAGTCATCTTCAGAACCTTATTTATTAAGGCTGCCAGCATCCAATAACTTTCAAGTTCAGAAAAAACAAATGATTAAGACTAACAAAATGATAAATAGAGATCTGAAACACAAATGATTACGAATAGGCAGAAAATTCATATCCATGCCTCGGTTCACTAGAGCATATGATAAGGCTAAAGATTAATTAAGAAAAATGACCAAATGGCAAAATAGGATATAAAGAAAATTTTCATTTTGAATTCATGGATTCTTCCATCGTAACTATATGATAATATAGAATCAAAATTTGGTCACTCTTGTCACTTTCAAGCTAATAAATTCTCATTACAAGTATACTACATTAAAAAAAAAAAAAGAAAAGATGCTTTGCCTCAAAATTAACATCCACTCTGTTTTTATCCAAATTTATAAATATCATTTACATATGCATGTATATGTTAACCAGAAAAAATACCTGCTTGAACGACAAAATAATATTTGTTTGTTATTGGGAATTTTCACAGTTTAGTTTAGAAAGGCTTTCTAGTTTGATGGTTAAAACTCAGTTACAGTACTATTCCATTTTTCCACATCACATAGTCAAAGATGAAAAGGATAAATTATGATTCATCAAAGTCACCAAACAAAAATCCTGCATAAAAACATTTTAATGAAGCTAAAGGAAAGAAATCATGTAGCACGGAAAAAAATTAAAACCTCCACTTCTATTTGCATCAATAGAAAGTTATTATAAGAGACATTCACAAATCAAAATTACAATTTCAGGTACAATGACATACTCAGCTTGCTATGTTAAATGATCAATTAGATTCATGATAGAACATTTGATAGCTTGCCCAATATTTATTTCTGCAGATAAATAATATCTTACAGACTATGAGGTTCTTCTTCTGTAGTACCACTTGTTCCATTTTTGTTTGTGTCTTTAATATGTGATGATCGGATATCTTCCAACAGAATTGAAGAGCTTGCAACTACAATCTATTATGCCATCAGTAACTTTGTGTTCTGTAAAAGATTGCCCAGCCTTTTGAATTTTGTATTCAAATACTAACCCTCTTTTATTGAAAGATTATCAAAAAGGTAGCAGGCAAGTAGACCAAAATGCAAGGACTATAGCAAAGCAGAGATCTGAAGAAGAAGAAGAAGGAGAAGAGCTAACTTGGTTTAGAGATTGAGACTGACTGAGAGAGTTGAAGAGAGACGCGCCACATTGTCGTCGTCATCTCTCGTTGCTGTCTCACGTTGCTCGCTGTCGTCGCTTGATGCCGTTGATTCGATGCTCGCCGCCGTCTGCCACTGCTCACAGTTGAGAAAGAGATAGAGAGAGATGGGGATTTTTGATAGGGATTTTGGTTGGAAATATTAGGGATTTTTGAGATTGGGAGTTTTTGGTTGAAGGGGGGAAAAAAGGAGCGCGAAGAGAAAATCAGGTTTTGTTTTGTTTTTGCGACGTCAAGTTTTATTGTCACAAATGAAAATTTAAACAATAAAATGACGTCATTTAACTATTTTTTTATTTGCGACGGGGGAATTATAGTCGCCAAAAACCTTTATTTGCAACGGGGGGAGCTTGCTGTCACAAAAAATGCGAATTATTTGCGACTGTAGTTGTTGTCGTTGCATAAACTTGTTTTTTTGTGATAGGAAGTATTGTCGTCACTAAAACCCATTTATTGGCGACAGCAAGTGGTGCCATCACAAAAAATCACTTTTTGTGATGGTTAGTGGTGTCGTCGCAAATGCTTCTGTGTTATATACCCCTATTTCTTGTAGTGTTATTCCGAACACTCGATGATGAAAGTTATATTGTGCAATCTTTTGAATTCTCAGCAAAGAAATTTGGATTCAAGCTCTAATCCCAAACCTTACATCCCATTTTGGCCAAACTATTTTAGACCTCAAAACCCTCTTTTTCAAAATATTTTTTCCAAATCTTTGTACGATGTTCCGAGGCTTGCATTTTGATTAAAATATTGCGCTTTTCGGTAAACCGAGTAAGGACAAAGTGTAAATAAATGGAAGGGAGATAAGCTCATTGAAAAATATTTTAAAACATCTTAGTTATAGGTTTGGAGTTGAAGGAAATAGGAGGGGATGGAAGAAAACTAGTTTAGAAAACAAGGTTGGGCATCAATCCATTAGGATAAAAGTGAGCCGTCTTCACAAAAATAGGTATATCTCTTTGACCACTTAGAATTTAGATGTGAGACCACCACCATTAGAAATTAAACTTCTGGGGATCAAATTTAGACTCAAGAATCACCTAAAACAGTGTCCAAATATGGGAAATATGCCCGTTTGAAGTGGGTTTGAATGCAGATTTTTGGAGCCGGCTAGGTCCATTTAGAGCCAGCTGGCTTTCAATGAAAATTTGTCCAGAATGCCTTTTAGACTTGGCCTTGCATTATTTGGTCCGGCAGTGGTTTTTTGGAGTCGGCCGGCTCTCATTAGCAATAAAACAGAATAGCTGGTGCGGGAATTCGCTAGCTGGCCTTTTTTGAAGATATTTTTGGCCAAATTGTCTTAAACTCTATAAATTAGGCCTCCCACTTCAGAATTAAGGGTTAGCAAATTTTTCAAAAGCTTTGAAGAGCTAAAAAGACCCCCTTTCATCTTCAACACCTTTCTTCATCCTCAAATATTCTTTAGCTATATATACACAATACATACTCCATGAGAGCTTGTTCTTGAAGCTTTTTTCTAGAGTTTCAAATCATATTTCATAAACTTGAGGGTGTTTGGAATCAAATTTGATCAATAACCAAAGCTCGCTCTCTTCAAGAGATATAAGCTTGTCACATTTTTCCTTGTTTTCATTTAAAATTTTTCTATCTTTTTCTTGTGTTTTCCTACTATTTTGGATCCATTCCAAGTGTTGGAACTTGCTGTTGAAGAGCTACTGAAGGTAGAGAGGCTTAACACCCTTTCTTGCACCTTATCCCATAGCTCATACTCTTTGATTTGGCACACTTTTCTTTGGTTTTCATACTGATTTTCAGAGCTTAAAAAGGCTGGAAAGCATGATTTAGAAGTCCAAAAGGTTGGGGGGGGGGGTTAGCCACCCCTCCTTAGTCTTGCTCACTAGTTTTGTATCTTTTTATTTTTTCCTATCTTTTATGCTCTTTTAACATGATTTTAGCCAGCATTTTTGGACTATTTTTGGACTATTTTCAAAGGCTAAAATATGTGATTTGAAGTTGTAAAAAGTGGAGGGTGCTAGCCCACCTCCTTAGGCTTGCTTACTAGCTTTGTTCTCTTTAATCTTTGCTTACTTTTTCTAGCTTTTCAAACTATTTTCAGGTTGTTTTTGGGACTGTTTTGTCACTATTTTTTTTTTTTTTTGGTTTTAGGGGTTGTTTAATTCATTTAATTAGTTTATTCTGTGAATACCTTTCTTCTTATCTTGCAAGTCCTCATGGCTTTAGTTGTTTAGGCCTTAGACAATAAGTCGTTCGAGTTGATAGCTTTAATTTGCTTGGTTTTCATATTAAGAGTATCATTTTAATAGTTAATTTAGCATTCATTTCTACAACCTCTCTCCTTTCTTCTTTTGTTTGAGAGCCATTTCAACCGATTAATGGTCATTTAAAGCATGAAAAGGAGACCTATGCTCAATGGCTTAATCTCTACGGAGGTTCATCGTCAACAACATGGTCTCTCTTTCATGTTTAGGATCACCTCTCGTTTGATGTTTCTTCTCATTTAGTGGACTTAACTATCACTTCAAACAAATTGATTAAAGAATGGAAAGAACTAATATAATTGGCTTAAAATGAACCACCCAACATAAAGAAAATGAGTTATATTGCTTGGGTTCGGCCTGACGTTATGCCAAGTCCATCATGTCAAGGGTCGTCATACATCAATTCATGATGTTTTGATGAACCTTGAAGTGTCTCTACCTCCTTCTTTGAGCTAACTCCATGATAGGAATGAGGGGTGGTTGTTGTCCATTGCATTCATTGATTTTTGTCCAAAATCATGTCTGAAATCATCAAGCAATTAACTTGCTCATTGATAGTTTTAGAAACAACTTCATTCTTCTCTTGAGGCTCTCCATGACAGAGAAGAGCAGAAGGGACAAACTGGGTCTAGAAAGGCTCTGTTTGTACAGTTCTCACCTGAGAGCACAAAAGCATTTGTGGCATATAATTAGGGTACAACCAGCTCTTTTTGGACCCAACTGGATCTCATTTAGGGCCGGTCGGCTCCCAATGTTTGGTAAACAGAGTGTTTTGCAGAAAATAGAGTGCAGTGACTGAAGGTGAAACAGAGCAGTTTCTGGACACTGTGCATGCGGTTATTACGCCTCATTTGTGCTTGTATTAATATCGTTATTATAGTTATTATTGTTGTAATTAGTATTATTATAAAACCCTTGTTGTAATAAAATTAGATAGCTAATTAATTTAGAATTTATTGAATTAGTTAATTTAGCTAATTAGTATTCATTCGAGTTTGTAATAGTTAGTTTATTCGGACACTCAGACATTTGGACCCTCTTGCATGAGGGCAAAATATGTAATAATTGTCTATGCCTTCCAACCCCTATTTCTATCTCCCTTTTATTTACCCGCTTAAAATGGTAGCATCATATTTTCTTAGCATATTCCATGACTTGCATCCATTCGTTTTGCATGCATTGAGTTCAGTTCATCATTTTAAACAACATTGTCATTTATTATTTCCTTGAATACGTGCTATATCGCATGTCTTGGATGGAATCATATGCCATTCTAGTAACTGAGCCTATTAGTTGCATTTTTGTATGTATTGCATTAGTCATATTGCATTATGTAGGAGCATGCATCATTTCAACTATTTTATTTTCTTTGGCTTGCCTCAGAGTACTAGGTGAGCATTTAATTGCTTT